AATCATCCCAGACATAAAATATGGGTCAAACATACCCTTATTACAGAACGGTCCAACTAAAAATATAAAAATACATAATCCAACAGAAGTAAAGGAAAGTACTGCTAAAACAACTAAATCTAATATCAGACTAAAGTAAGGTTCTACAAAAGAGATCTAGCGCTCGTCAACTACTACAGGGATAAAGTCTAAGCTTCATGTTATTCTTTTGATCCATCTGGAAGACCTTACTGCTGCAAATCATCTGGCTCCTGTACTATCCCGAACTGGGGCTGCTCATCTCCTAAATCTGACGTACACCCAGAAAATAGGAGTACGTCAGCGTGTGAAACACACGGCAAGATCCCCCATGGCATGAACAAATACAATAACAGTAACGATAATATATGCGTGGTCAATGCGACAACAGAAATAGAAATAGAACATATGATGATAGTAATAATGTTAGAGGCATGCAACTGGAATACTAATAATCATATGAATTCAAAAATCAACCAAGTAAGAAGATCATGCAGGTAGCGATCAAAATAAGCATCCAAGTAACATGTTCATACACTAGATGGAATTAATACTTAAAAATCTACAACTCGAGGCGTAGTACGTCGAGCGAAATAATCCAAACAAGGAAACCCTCATGTATATACCATATGCCTCAAATTGTAGATGATTAAATATTAATCCCGATCTAGGTATGGAAAGAAACATAACTGGCCTATATCTCACAAGCATCAAAACTCATCCAAGTAACAATTCATGTAACTAGTCATTCTATAACAAATCACTGGTCCAACCGTCTAACCCCAGTGCGTATCGGTTCACTGGCCCAACAGACTAACCCAGTGCGTATCGGTTCACTGGCCTAACAAACTAACCCAGTGCGTATCGGTTAACCCAGTGCGTATCGGTTCACTGGCCTAACAGACTATCCAGTGCGTATCGGTTCACTGGAGCGACCCTAGAGGATACATGAACAGTCACATCTAATCACACGTACCAAGACTTCCCATTCCGGTTCTTCTTATTTTCTAAGCCAGCAACACACAAGCCTCTAAATCTTATTCATGTCACATAGATCACTATAGTCATGTATTTCTCGTGATTCTTAAATATAACAAGGAATGATAAATACATATAATACTAATTAACAGTATCATAAATTAAAAACAGGAACCATGAACATCTACTATAAACCGTACATGAGGAACTATCATTAACAGATATCATGCACATGAAATGTCGACATTTTCAATTATTAATTCCGAAATAAATCATTTTAATTTATTTATCATAAATTATTCAAAATAATCTTTAAAATATATTATTATTATTATTTATTCTGTTTGAACAGTAACTATTTTTTAATTTCTATTTTTTTCTTTTCAACAATATCTCATAAATTTTACCCAACTTTCCAAATATAAACTTGTCATTTTTATTTTCATTAATTCACAAGTAATCCCACACATAATTATCACATGAAATAACTAATCAACATTATTAATTAATCAAAAATAATTTTAACACGAGACAAGTGAGGGGATTCTTGCCTACGAGATCGTGGGGTCTGACGAGGAGACGGTGGCGCCGATGCGGACGCGATACGACGGATCTCAAGCGACGTCTGTGGTGGGTCTGGACTGCGTCGGCATATCGTCGAACAGGTGGCGTGCGACGAAGGAAAGGCGTTGGTGGTTGCGGTTGGTAGTCGTTGGCAGCAAACTTGGGCGTCGGGGCTCGCGGTTAAGCGACGAGGAGAGGAGATTCAAGAGGGGCAGCGGCGTGGGCGTTTGGACGGTGGTCGAAGGCTATTTTTTTTGTGAACTGATGGAGAGAGAGAGAGTGTACGGGAGAGAAAAGAAGGAATTGTTTATTATGGAAGGGGGGAGAGAGAGAGGGATATGCACTGATTTGAGGGGTTAGTTTGGAAAGAATTCAAAAGATGTGGAGTGATTAGGGGATTGATTGAGAAATAAATTAGGGGAAAAAAATATGGAAGGAATTCAAATTCAAATTAGAGGAAAAATAAGAGAGGGAAAATATTTATTTATTTACTTATTCAGAATATTTAAAAATAATACTTATAATAATAATTAACCATATAATAATATTAGTAAATAATTAACAGCCAAATATTTATATATTTATATTTGTACTAATGTACTAAGCTCAAATTTACATAAAAGATTTATTAATAGTATCAATAGTTAAAATAACTATTTAAAATATTCATTGTAACCGTAAATTAATATTTCACAGAATTAATACTTTCAGGACTATATATTTTATTATTTATTTATTTTGAAAACTAAAAAATTTCCAGAAATTAAGAAAAATATTAATAAGTTCAAATTTAATATTTTAAATACTACAAAAATTATTTAAACACGTATCAAAAATTATGGTTGTTACACAATGGAAGCTGGCATTCCCATCAGCCTCTGCCGCCCAATGAGGTTATTTGATAGTTATCATCACTAGGTGTCGGACTGAATTTTGTATTTTTTGTCATATTTGATTTCATTATGAACATTTTTAGTTGCTGTGGAATGGATCCGGATCCAATGTGGAATGTGGACTCCATGGCTGATTGCCCGCATGCTTTGTTTCCTTAATTCTTTTTATTTTTATTTTTTTAATGACTACAAAGACAGTGGACTTATAGGGGGGTCAGAGCTCAAAGGAGATGGACCGGAAGGTTCTACGAGAGGAATTTAGCTATAGAGCAAGTGGAGGAGGAAGATCGATCGATGATGAGGCCGAGGAGCACCAATAATGCATGTTGTGACAAAATCGATGTAAATTATGTTATTGCGGGTGGTTTCCATTGCATGCTATGAATCTCTTTATGCTTCCAGAATGAATCGAAGTTAATTCTTATGTTTGCTTCCTTAATTCTTTTTATTTTTATTTTTTTAATGACTCCAAAGACAGTGGACTTATAGGGGAGTCGGAGTTCAAAGGAGGTTCTACGAGAGGAATTTAGCTATAGAGCAAGTGGAGGAAGATCGATCAATGATGAGGCCGAGGAGCACCAATAATGTATGTTGTGACAAAATCGATGTAAACTATGTTATTGCGGGTGGTTTCCATTGCATGCTATGAATCTCCTTATGCTTCCAGAATGAATCAAAGTTAATTCTTATGTTAGTTTCATTATATAATAGAGTTTTATTAATTGAATGCTAAAATACCATTTGAGATTACATAGTAGTGTATTTTGAAAGTCTAGAACGTATCATCAAACTATAGAAGCAAAATAAGTAAAGTGCTTTATTTTAGTGCATATTTAAATGCTTTATTTTTTTGGTTCTTTGCTCATTTTAATTCGTGTTACATGTTTTCATTTTTTGGATGTCTTAATCTTTTGTGATGAATATTGGATGTTTGTCCTTGGCCATCTGAAAAAGTAAGCAAGTTCAATTGTTGTGTGGAGGGTAATTTTTTATTTACTCTTTTTTAATTATTAATATAATTGGTTATAGTTTAATATTTAAAATATTTATTAAAATAACTATATCAAGGAAAGTATTTTTTGGCATATATCTAATATTAAATATTAATTTAATAATGTACAAAATATTGTCACTATAGTATGATACTTAAGATATTTATTAAAATGATAATTTTTTAAGAAGAATATTAGACTACAAGAAAACATAAATACATTATATTATTAATACGTTATTTTAATATAACAATATACCATATATTATTCTATTCAAAGTGAGGGCAACGTCCATTTTATAGTGAGTTTTTACTTTTGTTTTAATAACATTTTATTACAAATTATTTATTAGTTTTAAATTGGTTCTTATTTTTATTTTCTGGCATGGTTTTATATGATTGAGTAACTGAGATTTCTCTAAATTTTCCAACTTCCCCTAAATTAACTATTGCTCGTAATTCTTTAAATGGGTTTTGATATAGGTTATGGTGTAGTTTTTAAAGTTTATGGAGGGAAAAGGGGAAGCTTATAAATGTTACTAGGGCTTATATGCAATTTATAATTTGTGGGGGTGCAACTATAACTCAACTCAACAATCTAAATTCGCCTCTGGTTTCACCTATTTTGCACATATATAGACCCTCAATTGTATCTAGATTCACTTAAATACCCTAAAGTTTCTATAAATACTGATTCCAGAGCCATCGGTGATTAGGAGTAATAGTGTCCGAGTGGTACATAGTTACAAGAAGTTACATGCTGAAGGAACTGAAGTCTAAAGGGAATATTAGCATCCTTGGGCTACGTATTTTGCTTGATTTGTCGGTGATTGTGTAGAAGCTTAACACTACTTGATTCGTTTGTGGTGTGAAGTAATTTGGGGCACTCATCAAGTACCCTCAGTCATGCAAACATGATAATTCTCCCTCAAAAACTCTCATGCAATACTAATTTTAAAACACTTTAACTCTTACTATTTGTTAAAATTACTATTAAACCTATCAAAATATTTAAATTTGATTAAGCCTTTTTATATTTGTGATTAATTTGTAGTTATCTTTATGAGTGAACATTGTAATATATATTTATACATGACAATGATAACAACTTTAATTATCCGTTGTGTTAGATAAGTTCTTATATAATTAAAAATTTTAGAACAAGAAACAAATACAATTTCACGTGCACCGCACGTACATTATACTAGTTTCCATAAAAGTGTCAAGAAGTTGGCCGGAGTTGAGGTCACTTGAAAATAGATTCACAAAAAATAGAGAGATAGAGAGAAATGAAAAACAAACGGGTCCTCTCGTGAGCACCCGTCGGAAAAACTGTTATCAATAAAGTCAATTGTAAATAGAGAAAAGAGAAGGGATGATCCAAAATTCTCATACTACACCAATAGAATATGAAATTGCCATTATCTTAGAAATGTTCATCTACTAATTTGAATCAGGCCCGTGATTCTATGCTCATAATAAGCATCAAATTCGACGACATGAAGAATATCAAAAACAAATTGTTAAAGACAAACCAAACATATTTAACAAATTAGTAAAGACAACCCAAACATGTGTTATTCATAGCATAGCATAACAGGAAGCCACAAAGGTGTTCACATGCCATATTTATACATCTGATAACCGTTGAGTTCGGAAAATAACAAGAGCAAACGAGAGGCTGAAAACAACAGACAACTGAATGTAAAATAGTACATATGCGAAACACATCTTTAATTATTTATAGAATCCACATCAGCGTCCGCCACCTCCTCCTCCCCCACCACCGCTACTGCCACCGCCTCCGCCACCGCCTCCTCCTCCACCCCCACCACCTCCTCCTCCTCCATTAGCCCTAGCAAGGTGGATGCAGCCTCCCTAGCATGGCAAATATGATGAAATTAGACAACAAAAAATATAAATAAAAGGGCAATTAACCAAAACTGAAGTTGATTATCTCATGCCTGGTTACTAAAAAATATAGGGTAAATTTCAGAAACCACATCTGAATTTTGGGGTGTAAGGACAAAATCCTCTGAATTTTGAAAATTAGAGGACCCCCACCCCAAAAAAATTATCCCCTCTACTATGACTAACACCATGAATTCTAACAGGTGATGTCTAGGGTTGGAAATGAACCAAATAATTAACAGATAGTTCAATAATTGTTCAAGTAACTATTCGGTCATATTTGATTCGGTAGTTCATTTACCACTAAAAAGATTTGAGTTTACTAACAAATAGAATTTAACCAAATGCATATTCAATTTGTTTGCCCATCAAATATTCATTTAAAATTTGATCACATACTATTTGTATTATTGCACATATGATGTTATATTTTTAATAGGGTTATCATTTCTACTTAAGTTTTTTGTACTGATTTTAAGACTTAAATAATCTCAAACCTGTTTTCTAACGAAAATTTATACACACACATCATATATTATGAAGGAATATTTTTTATTTATGAATTTAGATACTATTTGAAAAATAAAATTTTTAGTGAATAAATATACTTTGATATTTGATAACTATTCTTGGATATTCATGAATATTTATCAAATACCAAGTATTCAAGTTTGAATTCGAAAAACTCCATATATGTATATTAGGGTCCGCATTTGAATTCTATAATTTTAAACAAATACAAACACGAGCACCTTAGTATTAGATTCGATTCGATCTTTTACCACTCCTAGTGATGTCCTCTTCACTTATCAAAAATGGACAAATTTTCCTCTCGCTCCAAAAAAAAATTATTCAATACCTTTTATTTTACGTTTAGTTTATGGGATATCATAGTCATTTTGGCTAACTATTTTACAGGGATTTTTGTGGATCTCTCCAAAATTTAGAGGGTGTCCTCTAATTTTTAAAGCTCAGGGGTTTCATCCAAATTATCACTGCCTACGGGTAGTTTTGTGAAATTTACCCAAAAAATTATAAGCAGTGAAACGATTTCACTACTTGTCACCTCTCTCTTGAAAAACCTGACTAAAATGCATCAACTAAAAAAAAAGGAGGAGAGAGAATTACCATTTCCTTGATATCTGTTTACACTTAATGATCTCTTATTTTGCTACTTGTGAAGAACTTGATTGGTTAAGGACTGAATTTATAGGAGCTTGAAGGCACAATTGTCAATAAAAAATGACTTGAGTGGTCGTCTCTAGACAATTAAATTAAATAGAGAGAGCTTAGCTGTTGGATGGATAATGGTTAGTTTAGTTGACTAGTATAGAAGTCTTTGTCTCATTCATAATTTAAATTAGATGCACCTTTCATGCATAAATTAAGCATCTCTCTACATTAATCCTTGGTGAACTGGTCTACCTAGAACAAAACAACTTGATGGATTATTAACAACCGGCATGACATATAGATGTGCAATTTCATATAAAGATTTCTAGCATCACCTCTCTGGGTTGAGTGGAGAGAGGAGTTACAGATGATGAGAAGCTAAAGAGCTTAATTTTAGATTAACGGAATATTAAGAGATTAGTGGCGAAGTTATGATGGTGATCGATGGTGATTAAATGGGTAATTGTTGTGTATTTAATAGAATTAATTAGTGCTAAGGTTATGATGGTAATGCTTGTTTAATGGTCATGTTAGGGAATATAATTGGGTAGTGGGTATTGACACTTTTTTTTAACATTTTCATTGAGCATGGCCGATCAAAGGACAAAACTTTGGAACTTGTAATGGCAAGTGATTGATATTACAAAAACACTTTTTGGCTCGCGTTTTAACGCGCGAGCCAACTCGCACATGAAACAGGGGATGGGTTACAAAAACACTTTTTGGCTCGCGTTTTAACGCGCGAGCCAACTCGCACATGAAACAGGGGATGGGCCATTGGTAACGCCCCGCCCGGGAATTCCGGAGTCGGTACGCTATTAGATCTGATGGACTGACCTCACAAACTACCACATGTCTTTTCAGCACGTTTTTATCCTCACTCACGCGCTCCCTGGAAAACTTCCCAGGGGGTCACCCATCCTAGAATTACTCCAGGCCAAGCACGCTTAACTTTGGAGTTTCTAAGAGTTGGGTTCCCGAAAAGAATTATTGTTCCATTCCTCTAAAACCTTGGTTGAAACTATATCATTTGTTGATTGGTTTGATTTTGTGATGCTCATGGATATTTTGGTATAAGCCTATGCTTATTTTCTTTATCAATTGTTATGTCTTTTCATATAGTGATAGGTTGAGATGCATATGTGTTTGATTTATTTCACTCTTGGTTAGCCTTTGGCAATTTTGTATAACATACTTGGTTATATGTGTGAACGTGGGCCACCACCACGTGAATGTTCACGTGAACGAGACGCGGTTTTGTTTCCGCGTGGACTCTTTTCCATGCAAAAATTGTGAACGTGGGCCACCACCACGTGAATGTTCACGTGAACGAGACGCGGTTTTGTTTCCGCGTGGACTCTTTTCCGTGCAAAGAAACGAAAACGAAGCCGGCCCACGATTCGCTACCTATATATATAATTGTTTATTAGGTTTTTTGGTTGAGAAGCAAAGGAGGGTTTTGTTTTGCGGCTCGGTGCAAGGCAAGTGCAGGCGTGCGGCTGCAAGAGAAAAGTGAAAAGAAGGTTTTGATTTTGTTTTTCGACTGAGAATTGTTTTCGGCTGGTGTTGCTGCAGACGCAGATTTGGTGCTGTACAAGGGTCCTTGTACATCCCCTTTGAGAGAGATAATTGTGTGAGGGATTTGAGAGATTGTGTGAGGGTTTAGATTGTGAGTGATTGTAAACCCTAGTTGTATTCTCTCCCTCTATTAGTAGATCTCCCCTCCTTGCCCCGTGGACGTAGGCAATTTGTCGAACCACGTAAAATTGATTGTACTGCTTTTGTGTGATTTGTAATAGCTTTTTAGGATCCCTCGACAGGTCAGTCCTAGAACTGATGAGAAGAAGAGCCAATATCTCACTTGGTTGAGATATCCGCTTCAGATTCTTGTCTCCTTGGTGAGACGGGAATTCTTATTGCGATCTGACTCTCTTGTTGTGCTGCCGAAGTGCTGCCGAAATTTCCGCTGCAAGTAACAAGTGGTATCAGAGCTCAGATTCAGATCTGGGGTTTTGGATTAGGTGGAGGAAGATTCAGTTTGAAGCTTGGTTCTTGGTGTTCTTGGCTTCGGTGGAGATAGCATTAGGAGTTGCCGTTGGAGATTTCGCTTTCCTCGTGTGGATAGGAGATCTATTTGGAATCCGATCTAGGGTTCAGTTGGGTGGTTCCTAATTTTATCAAATTTGTTCTTTCTCTACAATTTGGAGTTAGTTCGCAATGGGAGAAGAAGGTGAAAGCAGCAAATCAATGGCGACTACAATACAAGTTGGTTTTCAAAACACCAAAATTAGTGTGGTGAAATATGACGGAAAAATCAACTTTGGTTTGTGGATGAGCGACGTACAGGATGCGTTAAATGCTCAGAATTTGGAAGAGACCATCATGGTCCACGAGAGACCACCTAAATATGAAGAGGCGGTATGGGAGAAAATGAATAGGAACGCTTGTGGGGTGATCAGGTCCTGTTTGGAACAGGAGCTAAAGTATGATGTGATTGGGGTGACGTCTGCGATGAAGATGTGGGAAATTCTCAACAATAAGTATCTCACAAAGAGTGTTGAGAACAGGTTGCACTTGCTGCGAAGACTCTTCAGATTTCAGATGTCCAGAGGCACCTCGCTAGCGGCTCATGTGAACAACTATTCGAAGTTGTTGTCGGACTTGGCGAATGTTGATGAGAAGATATCGGATGAGTACAAGGCAATTATTTTGTTGGGCTCCTTACCGGATGAGGAGTATGATACCTTCGTGCTCACTTTGTTGAACGGGAGATCTTCTATCAGCTATAGTGAAGTGACTAACGCTTTGACGAACTACGATTTGAGGAGGAAGGATAAGGAGACTTCCCGCGCTAGTACTTCAGGAGAGGCCTTGTCGACAAGAGGTAGAAGCCCATATCCGAAAGGTGGTAACAGAGGGAGGTCAAAGTCTAGAGGCCGTCACCAACTAACAAAGAACCAATGTGCATTCTGCAAGGAGCAGGGACATTGGAAGAGAGACTGCCCGAAGCTCAAGGAGAAGGAGAATGGCAAGAAAAAGGGCCCGAAGGCCAATGAGGTGAACATTGCGAAAGGCGATGATTCCGATGATTCGTGCTTTTCTCTACTGATTACTCCGGAGGTGAACCATGTGGATGCATCAGATTGGATGCTTGATTCCGGCGCTACCTTTCATGTGACCCCTAGGCGAGACTGGTTTGCATCTTTTGAGAAAGTCGACGGGGGCGTTGTTGTCATGGGAAATGATCAATCCTGTGGCGTTTGTGGGATAGGTACCGTGCGGATTAGGATGCACGATGGAGTAGTCCGTGAGTTGAAGGAGGTGAGATTTGTTCCTCAACTGAAGAAAAATCTTATCTCAGTTGGAGCTTTGGAGGCGAAGGGATTCAAGGTGACTTTCGAAAACGCTGTAGCGAAGGTTACTAAGGGATCATTGGTGGTGATGAGGGGAGTCCGCAATCGGAATTTGTATTATCTGAAGGGAAGCACCGAGATTGGCCAGGTTGCTTCGGCTATTTCAGAAGCGGACATGAGCAGACTTTGGCACTATAGATTGGGGCACACAGGTGAAAAGTCACTGCAGACATTGTGCAAGCAGGGGCTATTGAAGGGAGCCAAGAGTGGGAAGATTGAGTTCTGTGAGCACTGTGTTCTTGGCAAGAAGACGAAGGTGAAGTTCGGGACTGCCATTCATCAGACGAGGGGCATCCTGGATTACGTGCACACAGACGTTTGGGGTCCCACCAAGACTGCATCACTTGGTGGTCGACATTGGTTCGTCACTTTTGTAGATGACTATTCTAGGCGTTGTTGGGTGTACACCATGACGAAGAAGAGTGAAGTCCTAGATTTGTTTGTGGAGTGGAAGAAGAGATTGGAACTGCAGACTGGGAGAAAGATCAAGACGTTGCGATCCGACAACGGTGGTGAGTATACTTCTGACCCCTTTCAGCAGCTATGTCGAGACGAGGGCATAGAGAGACACTTCACAGTTAGTCATACACCGCAGCAAAATGGGGTGGCAGAGAGGTTGAATCGGTCTTTACTGGAGAAGATCCGATGCTTATTGTCGCAGAGTGGTTTGGAGAAGATCTTTTGGGCTGAGGCACTTACATATGCGAGCCACCTCATTAATAGGCTGCCTTCATCTGCGATTGAGGGGAAAACCCCTATGGAGATGTGGTCGGGAAAGCCAGCACATGACTATGACCAGCTCAAGGTATTCGGGTGCCCTGCATATTATCATGTTAGAACTGATAAATTGGAACCTCGAGCTAGGAAGGCCATATTTGTAGGATTCAAGCGTGGTGTCAAGGGATACAAGCTTTGGGATCCAGTTGATAAAAAGATTGTTCTGAGTAGGGACGTCACATTTGATGAGGCTTCTATCTTGAAGCTTCCCAGCTCTCATCAGGTGGAGAGCGACCCGACGGAGGAGATATCGCAGGTGGTGGAGATCGATGCAGCTCCACATTGTCCAGATGGTACAGTATCCATGCAGGTGCCGACTGAGGTGACGCCAGGCGAGCACGACGATGACACGGAGGATACGAGTACAAATGTGCAGGATCAGGAACCGACGGCTCAGGTTCAGGATTCTATTGCGGCTAGGAGACAGAGGAGAAACATACAGATGCCAGCACGGTATGCCGACACAGTTGCGTATGCACTTCCGGTGGAGAGTATCGATGAGTTAGTGCCTACTACATTCAGAGAGGCCGAGCAGAGTTCGGAGGCTGATTCGTGGCAGGTGGCTATGCAGGAGGAGATGGAATCTCTTCATAAGAACGATACATGGGAGCTTGTTGAGCTTCCAAAGGGGCGGAAAGCAATTGGTTGCAAGTGGGTATACACGAAGAAGGAGGGCATTGAAGGCACTCCGTTGAGATTCAAGGCTAGGTTGGTTGCGAAGGGCTATGCACAGGAGGAAGGTATTGACTATAATGAGGTTTTCTCTCCGGTGGTGAAGCATTCTTCGATTCGGATTTTGCTAGCTTTGGTGGCACAGTATGGTTTGGAATTAGATCAGTTGGATGTGAAAACGGCATTTCTTCATGGTGATCT